TACCCCGTTTCAGCTCCTCGTTTCCGGTGTCCCTCTAGGAGAGCGGACACTCCGGGATCCATCCCTTGCGGTTTTCACTTTCCACCGTGTCTAGACAATCCCATCTCGCTAATATGTTGGTTTCAGCTGCCATCGCTAGACAGGTGACTCAGGCTTTTCTCTTTCTCCGTCTACCCCGGCCCACTTCCTTCTACCCCAACCTGTCTCGCTGGAATCTCTTGGGGGGCTTCAGCTGAAAGGGAACCAAACTGAGGTGCGATTTTACCGCAGTGGTCGATACAAGCGATCGTTGTCAGCGTAGAGCAGTGTTTCCTGATTTTATTTGGCCACGGAACCCTTTTAAACGCGAACAAATTTCGTGGAACTCCTAATAACCGTCTTATATCAGGAGCTGAAAAAGTAGACCACAAATAAGTAAGGCTAATAATACACAAATGCTAAACAAGGTCATGAGATGAACATTCAATTTAATTGCACATATTTAAAAACAAAATGTTTCAAAATATCTTCACAATGCAGCAGATACTAACGAACCATTAGATAATATTTTGTTGCATAGTACACATGGGGCATCTGGACCATCTTTATTTCCATTGCTTGTGAATCCAAATGACAAATAGTCCTCAGCAGACCTGCCTTTCTTATAACTCGGCTGTAATTCTTCATAATTAGCTTGAACTGCCTTGGTATCTTCCTTGCTGGTTTCAGTAACAGGAGTGTTTGAAGTACTCGCTTTGTCTTTTTTAAGTTCCTTCTTTTAGCCAATGATCCACGGGGAATTTTGGTATCAATCATTTAAATTATATGTGTAGATAATAGTAAGTTGTATTGTTAGTCACCCATGTGACAGTGAGTACAGGGATTTCCGGTGTTAAATAACACGCGCTCGCACCACTGATGGACTGAGTGCGCAGCGCTAAGTGGAATTTTCTCGCAGAACTCTGACTTTCGCTTCTCGGAACCGTGGGATTCCGTGGAACACCACTGGGTCTAGAGTATTTCCGGATCCTGCTTGTAGCTCGGGGACTCTGTAAGCAGCATGTGGCCTGGCCTTCTAGCATCAGATTCAGAGCGTTATTTCGAAGTCACCCCTCCCTTAAGTCGAATTTATAAGTGGAGCGTCCATACAACCAAGCCTGTTATTTCGAAATAACGAGCCCCAAAGCTTTCCTTGGGGAAGTTTTGAAATAGCAGCAGTGCTACCGGGGGCTCTAAGAGCGAGGTCGTGGGTCCACATTAACGAAGCCTGCCTAGGACTCCTTTCATGCCTCCCCGTAGCGAGGATGCGCTAGTTCGATTTAGCAAAATCGGGAGTTTAGTTCTGGGTCAGCTCACAAACTTATCTTTCTCCCAGGGCAGGAAGAACTAGACAAAAACCATCCATTGAAAACCCCAGGGGAAAGACCCCATCCCAGATGAGTCCGCACGCCTGGGACTGACGCTTGCTTCCGGGAGTTTGACTCTGGCTCCCCTACACGGAGTAAAGTGTCTAACGAGGTGCAGCGCACAGCTCAGGTGTTAGTCTTGCAAGCGTCTTATTGGACGGTCGGATAAAGCTCTTTGCCCGATGTCTCGACACGCTTCTGGGGAAAAGCGATCTGCTTCCAAGTCCCTTTCCCACACATGCCCGGATGGATTCTCGTCTTACCTTTCCGGCAATATTTGCAGCTATTACTCCAGGGGTGGGGAACCTACGGCCATGGGGCCTGATCTGGCCCCTGGCTTGCCTGGCCCTGGCGGCCACGGTCGGATAAAGCTCTTTGCCCGATGTCTCGACACGCTTCTGGGGAAAAGCGATCTGCTTCCAAGTCCCTTTCCCACACATGCCCGGATGGATTCTCGTCTTACCTTTCCGGCAATATTTGCAGCTATTACTCCAGGGGTGGGGAACCTACGGCCATGGGGCCTGATCTGGCCCCTGGCTTGCCTGGCCCTGGCGGCCCAAGGTTGCGCCTGTACCCCCCCCCCCCCCCCCCCCCCCCCCGGACCCTGCACTCCCATTTCGCTTCTCCACCCTACCTCCTGTCCAGCCCTCAATCCCTTCCTGCACTCTACCACCCTCCCAGGCCCATCCCCCAACCCACTCCTGCTCCCTCCCTCCTGCCCAGACCCCACACCCCAAGTTTGCTTCCTGGCAGCCCCCCCTCCCACAACTGAACGTCTCATTTTTGGCCACCCCAGAGGAGCCCACGAAATCTACTAGCCTGGCCCCTGCAGACTCTGGTGTGCAAGGGGAAATTTTATTTTATTTTTCTTTGCTTCTCACTTGTGGGTGGTACCCAGCTGCTCTGTCTGTGGTTCAGTGCGCCCCCCCCTCCCCCCCCCATGAATCCTTTGCTTCTAACCAAGCACTGCAAAATAGATTCCTTGCGAGGTGGTTCCTCCTCCTGGTTTCTGAGAACTCACTCCTGGGTCAACCCCAAACTTTCCCCCTGCTATCAGAGGCAGCAGTGCGGAGATGCAGGGGCGGCGGGCCGGGAAGAGGC